AAGAAAAATTTCCAAGACTGTAGGCATACAAATTTTTGAAGAATCGGTACTATGACATACCTCCCCCAGTCAGGCCCTCCTGGCCTATATCACTTCTTATTTACCCCTTATCTCACCTATGGAATTTGTCATGGGGCTCAACAAAACAAGTAACCATCTCAGACATAATTACCCAACAAAAGGCTGCAGTTAGAATGATAACAAATTCTCACTATAGCCAGCACCTCCACCAATATTCAATACACTAAAACCTATTCCACCATACAAAACATTCATACTTATTACTGCACCTATTACATACATTAGAACACTTAACTCTGATATTAAACCCTCCCTTCAAACAATTCTCCTTGCCACACTCAATAGAACACATGGACCATAACACAAGGCACAGATCACTACTTTGATGTTCCTCGTGTCCATCTCACACTTTGCAAAAACTCAATGCACATAAAAGGCCTAAAATCTGAATCATTACCTGTAATATAAAAGAAACACTACTGTTTATAATTTCAAGTCTCTTCTCAAAGATCACTTACTCACCCAAAAACAAATAGAATACTGAATAACTGAACCTATTAAATTGTATATCTTAAATGTTTCTCACAATTTATCACATAAATGTAAAACCTAAACCCCAATCTACTTTATATTTTTTTAAAATACACTACCTACACAGAATACTCCAATCTATGAATGTACAACAATGCATACAACCATATGACCTGTCTTTGTTAATACTCCTTGTGGCTTTATTAGGATAATATGTTGACATTTAAAAGTTTATCCCGTGTCATCATTGCTTAGTTCATCTTAAGTTAATTTTAAGCCAGCCCGTAATGCTATGCATAGTATAAGTGGCTTTGGCATACTGCTCTTTTCTGTATTTTTTGTACCTCTGTATGTGTGCACAAATTTTTAAATAAATAAATAAATAAATAAATAAAAAACTAAGGTGGAGATGCATGTCTTTAGGGTATCTGGATCGTTGGTCATACCTGAGAGACTACTTGGTAGGTTGAATCCGGGGAAGAGAGGGGAGGATGGGCTGATGGCAGCCATGTTTGTTGTTATTGTTGTGGTGTCGCCTTGAGTGGTGGTGAGTGGGGTGGTTGCTGGGCCGGCGTCCTTCTGGCTACACTTGTAGAATAGTTGATTTTTCGGTGTTTTCTTGCTGGCCTTGGTGCTGTTTCCTCTTAGATTGCGCCTCATAATACTACAGGAATTGTTGTAGTTAAGAAGAAGTTGTAGTTATAAAAAGCTTAGGGTTACGTTGTTCGGCTGGCAGCGGGGTGTTGCTTTCGGTTTGTGGGCAGTCTTCCTTTGATCTCTATTATTTTCGATTTGTAGGTTTCACTGTTGGTAATCTTTGGTCATTCTGGGTGCTACGTTGGGTAGTGCAGTTTTGCTTGTAACTAGGTCATCATAGGAGCATTGGTAGCTCTGATAGTTGGAGAAAAGTACGGAGCTTGGAGGTCGCTGCTGCCGCTGCCGCATTAAACTTAATATTTCATGTAGTAAAATTTTTTTTTTTCATACTTTTGGGTGTCTTGCACAGATTAATTTCATTTCCATTATTTCTTATGAGGAAAATTGATTTGGTTTTCGATATTATCGGTATTCGATGAGCTCTCAGGAACGGATTAATATCGAATACCGGGGGTCCACTGTATATATATATGTAGGTAGTAGGTTGGTAGACAACAACCGCCCAGGGAGGTACTACCGTCCTGCCAAGTGAGTGTAAAATGAAAGCCTGTAACTGTTTTACATGATGGTAGGATTGCTGTTGTCCATTTTTCTGTCTCGTAAACATGCAAGATTTCAGGTACGTCTTGCCACTTCTACTTACACTTAGGTCACACTACACATACATGTACAAGCATATATGTATATACACACCCCTCTGGGTTTTCTTCCATTTTTCTTACTGATTCTTATTCTTGTTTATTTCCTCTTACCTCCATGGGGAAGTGGAACAGAATTTTTCCTCCGAAAGCTATGGTTTTGTAAGAGGCGACAAAAATGCAGGAGCAGGGGTAGTACCCTTTACTGTAATATAATTACTTAAATGTAAAAGAAGACACTTTCGTTTTTCCTTTTGGGAACCACCCCGCCTCGGTGGGATACGGCCGGTGTGTTGAAAGAAAGATATATATATAATAAAAAAAAGAAACATATATATATATATATATATATTAGTATATATTATATATATTATATATATATATATATATATTATCATATATATTTTTTTAATCCTAGGCGTAGTAGGTGTAGGACAGCAAACCGCCCAGGGAGGTACTACAGTCCTGCCAGTGAGTGTAAAGCGAAAGCTGTAATCGTTTTACATGATGGTAGGATTGCTGTTGTCCATTTTTCTGTCTCGTAAACATGCAAGATTTCAGGTACGTCTTGCTACTTCTACTTACACTTAGGTCACTCTACACATACATGTACAAGCATATATATACACACACCCCTCTGGGTTGTCTTCTATTTTCTTACTAGTTCTTGTTCTTTTTTATTTCCTCTTATCTCCATGGGGAAGTGGAACAGAATTCTTCCTCCGTAAGCCATGTGTGTTGTAAGAGGCGACCAGAATGCCAGGAGCAAGGGGCTAGTAACCCCTTCTACTGTATATATTACTAAATGTAAAAGGAGACACTTTCGTTTTTCCTTTTGGGCCACCCTGCCTCGGTGGGATATGGCCAGTGTGTTGAAAGAAAGAAAAGATATACACACTGAGAAATATATACATTGGAAGTTTATATTAATCACTATTTTAAATATAAGAGTATTCTTGACTGATGGTGTACAGGTGACATTCATCCTTATGACCCTCATGTAGTAGATATGTCTTAATGACTCTCATAGTTGACAGACCCCTGGGTGTTTAACATCCACCCAATACATAACTTAGTTTAACTTAGTTACATCAGTTAAGACAGTGTTGTCCTGGACAGGGAGGTGGAAGTGGCGTCATCACACTCACTGGTGGTGGTAGAGTCGGGCGCCGGGCAGCTGGGTATTAAGGTGGGCATCTCACCTCTGGTCTCCGCTATCACTGACTCCATCCTGGACCTCACGCGCTTGGCAGTACCCCCACACTTTGTGAGTACAATTTTTACCAACCAAAATGATTTCTTTGCGGTACAAATTTATGAAACAGTGGTAGGCCTAAAATAAAGCCACTAGTGTACAGTACATTTCAGGCAAACTAATCCTAATGCTTAAATGTTACTTAACTATACATAGATTATTAACCCTTAAACTGTCCAAACGTAGATCTACGTTCACCTGCGTGGTGCTCCGAATATTTTGAAAAATAAAAAATTTTTTGTGTTTTTTAAATTAAGAGCGGCAATTTTCTCTGTGGTATAAGGACAAAAAAAAAAAAAATATAGGGACCAGTACTTACCGAGATATAAGAATCCAACAGTTGGCTGTGGATGCTCACCTGACAGCACCATCCAGTCCTGCCTCTTGCAGAAGTGTTGTCGATTTACCTTTTTTTTCTTGTTTTTATTTTAACTTACATAATTTTTGTTCTGATAATTATAATTTATAATAGTTTTTTGTGATTTCATAGCCAATCTTTGTTCTGACAGTAATATTATGTACTATAATAGTACTCAGATAGTAACAAATCACACTGACAGGTGAACATTTTCACTTGCTTTGGTTATTGATTGTCTAGAAATATATACAAAGTATTTATAGGTCCCAGCAATGTTTTAGACACACTGGAGTATGAAACTCCTTGAAGAATGGTGTTATGACAAGGGTCAGATAAGAGACATTTGATGAATGTGCCCTGCTGGAGGGGGAACCTTGCCTTTATATGTTTTTACTCTTGCACACAAACATGTCTTGTCAGTCTATCTGTCTGCCTGTCTATCTTTTTATCTATCTGTCTAGTTCTGCTTATCTGTTTTTCTGTCTGCCTGTGTGAGTGAATTTCCATCTTCTTGTCTGTGTCTCAGGGAGCGGCTAGTGAACCTGTTGGTTTATGGTGTGTGAGCCGCTCCCTGATTCCTATTACTTGCATCATCCTTGTTTATGTCTTATATCTACATATACTGTATAGCACTTTGCCTGGAATTTTTGAGTTATCCCAGGTAATTTACGTTATATATAATGACTGTACTTATGAGTACATGTAAGAGATTGAGATATAAACAGATATGGCCAGATAGAGATGTAGACAGACAGATACAGAGACACCCAAAGCCAGCCAGCCAGCCGAATAAATAAGAAAGGAACGCTGCAGTAGGCCTACTGGCCCATGCAAGGCAGGTCTGTGTCAACCCCTGGCTTAGACCAGTGACCCACCAACTTAGGACACATCCACTGAAGGAAGGAGCACAACATCTGACCCAGTAGCACAAGCTAGTCAGGTCTAACTTGCACCCACACCCACTCATGTATTTATCTAGCCTATTTTTACTTTCCTCTTAAAATGTGAGTGTTAATATGACATGACATCAGTGAATCACTGGTGTTTGTCATCCGCGCTATCTGCTCTAGCTGGCGCTCGTTGAACTGGTGCTCCCACAAGGTACTAAGCGGTCCCAGATTTTTTCCATACTGTGCACACTAAGTGCACAGACCCATTCTTTCATGTCTAGGCGACTCAGGCCTATCGCACCAAATTTGAAGGAATGAAAAAATGTTGGTCTACGTTTGGACCCCCTCCCCCCCTCACATGAACATAGATCTGTGTGTGGACAGTTTAAGGGTTAAGTAGGCCTACTTATGCAGTTAACTACACTTAAAAGTAAATAAAGAAGTAGTTCATGAACAAATGGTGCAGTTAAAACAAAATTACTTATTTCAAACTGATTAAGTGATCCTCAGTTTTGTGGAATGATTAAACTGAGTATAATGGATCTTACTAAGAGAACTGTATATAGTGGATCTTTATAAGAGAATTGACTGTATATAGAGGAGCTTTATAAGAGAAGTGACTGTATATATAATAGTGTGTCTTTGGGTAGATTGTGAGTCACCTGGAGGAACGACTGTGTGAAATCTACCTGAAGTCTCACTTGTTGGCGGAGTACTTACTGTGTGGATCCGGCGCCTCGTTCAGCACCGCTGAAGGTTCTTCCTTCATCCCCTACCATCTTCCTGACTTGACCCGTGCCCTGGGCCTTGACCTCAATGACCTGCCACTGCTATTGGCAGTTGCCTCGACCCACACACCAGCACTCACCCGAATGTTCGGCCTGTCGATTAGGTAGTTCACTGGTCATCCGGACAACTGGTAAAGCTCCAGTCTGGGTCAGACGACAAGTTGGGTCACAGGTCACAATAACGTGTGGAACAATGTACAAGTGTCTTGTTTGTAAACTGTCACGTGTGAATACTGTTGGCCAGTAATATGTACATGTACATATCACTCGGTGTATGTACACAGTGTCAGTCTTGCAGTGTTTACACAAAGATATGTGTACATTGGTGAGAGGTGTTTGTGCATATGTGTATGTTAACTGAGTGGTGTGTGTGAACATGTATGTAAACTAAGTGGTGTGTACTTACCTGTGTCTGACCAGAGGATACCATGTGTATATAGGAGAGAGACTGTTGTTAACTGATCAACTTACACTGATGTGTCAGTAGTTTATTTCTGGTGAGGGGTAAGTGATATTCTTGGGAAGGCAAGTCTTAGTTTTATTTTGGTTGTAATAGAGGCAGTGTGTTGTAGGCTGCCCCTCCAGGCACCAGCCCAGCAGGAGAGAGAGGAGAGGCACCTCTTGTATGTAGGCTGTTTACTAAGAAAGATGGACAAGCATCTCATGGACTAAAGGTAAGCCCAGCCTACAAGATGGCCACACAGGGCTAGGAGACAGCTCCCCTAGTGTTATTTCTGGGAAACAGACATGGGGTAGACATACTGTCTACCTCACTCGTGCGCTACCCACAACCATCATACTTTAACCGTTCGACTTAAACACACCCAAAAACAACCCCCATTATCCACAACTCTCACTAAACCTTAAGTAGATGTCCAGAGAGCTTATTGGTACTTCAGCCACTTCATTGATGTTAACTTCATTCTAGCGTCTTGCAGATGATCGCAGAAAATACCACTACAATTGTAGGCACCCTTGTGGGTGTTGCACCTAGTTTTTTGTAATACAGTTGTAGGTTAGTCTGTGAGTCACTCTGGGGGCACTAGCACCTTGAAAATAGTCAAGACAGAGAGGAATAGTTTGATCTGTGTTCTGGGCTGCTGCTTCTGGTTATTGTAGGGTGATGTATGACCTGACTGTACAATTTGACTAGTACCTGACTGTATGACTTGGCTAGTACCTGACTGTATGACCTGACTAGTACCAGACTGTATGACCAACACATATCTGGTCATCTATATCAGCTGTACAATGAACCACACTTAAAAACACTTGGTTTACAGTGATCCTCACTTAGCTGGACCCTGAGGAATTCAACTTGCTGTTAAAGACTCCCAGTATAACCATTGCACAAACAAAACTGTGATATGGGCTGTGATTTATAGTCAATATTGTGCTTTGATTTGTAAATTGTGAAGTATTGTGCTTTGATGTACTGGTATTCTCTTGTACTTGGTACACAGGTGATTTGTCAGAGGTTATTGTGTATGAGCAATGACTTATGTTGTCTGGTGCTGTCAGTTGTGGGTACTTGAACCTTACTGTAAGTAGGTGTAAAGTGTAAATAATGGTAACTGTTACTGCAGCTGTTCTGCCACTGCTGTTACTTCAACACCAGGAGCTGTAGTAACAGCAGCTGTTATTGCAGCAACAGCAGCTGCCTGTATATCTGTACTTAAAAGTCTTCACAAAACTCAACTTTTCTCAACTCAAAACAAATGTTTAGTTCTTCCCAATGATTATTAAGCAGGATATTATTGAAGATATACAGGATAACCATGATGTGGTCAACCTGTAGGGGTCGTACACTGGTTGGGGAAGCAACCAGTGTGGCTCCAAGAGAATAGATCCACTCCCTTGGATCAAGAGCCTCTTAACATGGAGCCTTGAGGATATTTAGCAGGATAATTACCAGCGTTTTTTCCAGGATATATACCTGGATAATAGCCAGGATATTAAACCAGATAATAATAGCCAGGATAACCTGGATAATATGTAGAATTAAGTGTTTTTATACATTTTATATTTTTAAACTAGTCAAAAATAAATGTTAAAAGAAAAAAACTTGTTTTCTTGTTAGTTACTGTTGATGTTTTATTTACATTTTGACTCAAGGACTGATTTTTAGTTCATATTTGTCTCAATAGATGGCACTCAATTTTGTTTCATATTTTCCAAATAGATGGTGCCCAAGTTTTCTTAATTTTTCCCAGTAGATCGCTTCTTTTTGATTATAATAATAATTCCCAGTAGATGACAAGTTGTTTTTTAGTTCATATTTTTCCCAATAATTGGCACTCAAAAACATTTTATATTCTTCCTAATAGATGGCACACACAAATTTTAATTTATATTCTTATCAATAATGGCACTCAAAAATATTTTAGTTTATATTTTTCCCAACAGATGGCACTCAAAATCATTTTAGTTCATATTTTTCTCAATAGATGGCACTCGCCAATTTGTATTCTTCATAATAGATGGCACTCAAAAACATTTTAGTTCATAATTTTTCCCAATGGCACTAAAAAATGTTTTCATATTTTTCCCAATACAGCAGGGCCCCGCTTTACGGCGATTCGCTTTACGGCATTCCGCTAATACGGACATTTCAAATTATGACCAAAACTCGCTATACGGCTCCCCCCACCTGTCTTTCTAATACGGTCACAGCGGCCCACCGAGTTTGTTTACATTCTCCCTGAGCACATCTCCTTATTATGTCTGGAAACTTTCCAAAATTTCAAGTGTTTTAAAGTTATTGTATATTTTATATGTATTGTACTTGATAATTAAACTTGTGTACACCTGTACCTAAATAAACTTACACACTGTGCTGGCATGTAGGTACACATTAAAATCACTAAGAGTCTCTACTCTTGATGCAATAATAATAATAATAATAGTAATAATCTCTTGGGCGCATTAATGTCGCATATTACGTTAATATAGACATTTCCCTTAATCTATCTATGATATTTTTTTCAAAATTATATAAGAAACACATTATGTAACACACAAACATGATACATGCACCCACAGTATAAAAATTTATACAAATATATATGAGATGTTTACCAAACGGTTTGTAGAAGTGTCGGAAGAATTACGTTTTCTCTAGCCCGTCACCTGTTACTAGGGATAACTGTAGAAAAATATTCCTTTCGTATGCCTTCACTTTATAGCTATAATTCTGTACTAACTTGTACACAGTGTAAGAGTATTTGTTTCGTGATTTAATTATATATAATAATAAAAATATTATAAGGTAAAAGTTTCACAAACTCTTACAAATGTACATGAATGAACTAAAACTGGACACGTATTAATACCGTCTATTTCGCCTGACCGAGTGATCGTCCACAACCTGTTCAGTTTGTTTGTTTACGTTGTCTGAACTCGGTGTATCATTAAATGTTGTATATTACGTTAATATACACATTTCATTAATCCATCCGTGATATTTTTTTTTCAAATTATATAATAAACCGATAC